TAACAAACTTGCTTACAATGTCGATTGTTTTGTCGAACTTTAACAAAAATGCAGAAATTAAGAAAAAGGCAGTGACAAATAGTCTTTTATTTTCAAACAAAAATTCTTGTAAGCAGGACTAGGCTTCGAGCTAAACCCATCTAAATCGCATTTTGTTCAATAAATTTAAAGGGCGGCAGCCGTCGCGCCGCTTCCTGTTCGATATGGGACTCATAGCGACGTATACAACGCGTGTAAAATACATTGTTTATTTACATGAAATTCGAACACGCGCTGCGCGACGACCATCGCGCTTTAACACAATGTTGAAAACTGTACTAATATATTCATGGGATTACTACTAAAACTCCGGGATAGTCGTAAATTACTAGTCTATGAGTGTGTGTTCACACAGCTGCGGCATATTTAGACACACGTACATATTTAGTACGTAACCATGACGATAGTACGTGAATTAATGTTGCATATATGAAACCAAAGCATCGCCTGTAATACAGGTTTACAAATGACCAGTTCTATGTCTCAATTTCCATAGTAACGAGTTCGAGTCATTATTTTACATTATCCATTGTATGAGATACAAAATTGTGTTTGGCGCCCTCATCAACTCGTCATATTTTCTTCCGGAATCAGAAAGAATCGTGCATTTGATTTGAATCAATATAAAATAATTAAATGTAGAGAGGAGTCTAAATAATAGTGTCTCGAACTGACGAAATAATGCAAGTTTGTGTATGTGTCTTCACTAACAATACAGAGTTAATAGTGTTGGAAAGAAAGGACGAAGTGACCCGGGACTGACCCGAAATACTCCGACGAACATAAACACTTTCCTCAGTTCGGCATGATTTATTGCCGACTTGCAGAGACATATGACCCGAGTACTCTTCGTCATCTGTCAGTATTGTCTCATTACTAAGCATATGGGTGATGTGACATTTCGGTCAAAAGTTTATAAACAAGTGTCTGTAGCATAAAAATATACTTATAATAGTACCATTTAAATCTAACATCGAGTCAGTCTCCACCCCTCTGGTGCCGCTATTTCGTCTGTCCAGAAATGTGCATAGTGTTACTTTACTTTAAATACCGAAATCTCAAAAAAAATGCACATAATTTCCCCATGCTCTTAGAAAATTTCAAAATTTTCTTTTGCACTCGAGAAATAGAATTCTTTTCTTGTCCTCAACAAATCTTCTCGGAAAAGCTCTATTGACTGCACCTGTTGATATCACGATACACCACAACTCGTCGCTAAGCTCTCTGATGCCAATGTCATGAAAATACACATTGATATAGACTTGCATACAGTCTCTTGTGTTTTTGTGTGTGTATGTTTTTCAATAAATTAAAACATGGGAGTGTATAAATGGCGAAAGTCGGGTTTATTGCGCGGTAACCCGGCTTTCGCCATTTACACATTCCTATATTTTAATTTATTGAAAAAAAATGTATGCAAGTCTAACATTTCTACAATACCGGATACACCCATACTGTGCACATCGTTGTTTACTTCTAACTGTCCTGACATAGAGCGTATAAACTTTAGTCTCTCATTGCCATGTGAAACATACGTCACGCGGGCAATAAATCTCTGTGAGACCCCATCTTCATTTATAACACCTTCATTGTCTTCTGGTGCATACACAGACCAGTATACTCGGAGAATACGTCTTATAATTGATCATTGGCCAATGTGTTGCCTTTCTTGAAATCTGGAGACAACCCTGACAGCAACAATGATATCCTATTCACGTAAGACTGTAAATTCTCATTTAGAGTTTGGGATATATCTACTATTTATTGTTGACGCAGATTGATACGTAGAATGTTAATTGCAGTCTCCCAGATAGCTGACATACATGTGCAATGTGATTTCCATATTCTAGTCATTGGACTGGGAAGCCATAACATATATTATTGCTATTAAAACAACACATATAAAACATCAGACTCACCATAAACTATAACCAGCATAATGGGTATCACGGGTCACACATATATAGATATCATATGCAAATGAATCACTATTAAACTCGTTTTAAATTCGCTTACAATTACCCACTAAAATGCGAGGCAGAAATGTTATTCGGGCAAAATTGACACTTAGAGCAAATAACGAATAATTAAAACTGTTTTTTTAACTGTTTTGCTAATGGTATAATCTCCCTCTAGTCTCGTAAACTGTGTTGTATATAGAATTGTCATGTGACTCCTTGCCAAACAAGTTTCCAATGATAAATAAAGTTATCATTTATTCATAGGTCTGATGCCGCCGTCGGCGCCATGTACATCGTATACAATATACGATGTATACTGTTCATAGGTTATAAACAAGCTTTCCAGTTCACCAACCTTAGACAAGTGTGGCCTATTTTATGAATGGTTGTCTAAAACCGCGTAAAATGGCACAATACGATGCAAAACAGTAGTTTTTTATTTATTTATCGCACTTCTTCAAGCGCAATCAACAGCTTGTGTTGGTGCTGTCTGAAGTGTCGGATACATCATATACATGTTTTCCGGATCCCTAGGGAGGACGTCGCTTCTATAATTCCCCAGAGTTCGTCGCTTCCTTCTTAATCGTTTCTTTTATATAGAGGAGAGTGATATATTCATGTGAGGTCCACGAAGTCAGTCATGCTACAATGAAACACGCCCGTTAATTTCTACAAATCTTACAATACAATCAAACACAACACAACACAAGATTTATTATCGTTGTTGTCGAAACGTAGAAACACGATAACTTGTAGAGTCGCCTTTAATGTGCGGATGAAAGAAAGCACGTCAACTTCAGAGAAATATTGACGCTAAATTGTGAAATAAATTCGCGATGGATCATACGTACGTCAACGCCCGGAATGCCAACTCACCATAACACACCATAAACGCAGATGTCTTGCGCTTTAAGTCCATCTGAACGCCACCGCTTTCCCGCCAAAAGTAAGGTGCAAAATTTTGCATTTTTTATATCTTCCCATTGGCTACAGATGAAATATGCGTATTTTTTTTGCAAAAAATCTATTGAGAAAACGGATAAATTATTTTGCAATACTGTCATTAAAGCATCAATAGTGCATAATAACCATGAAAGACTATTGGAACCAGCAAAATAAATAAATATTAGTCGGAGTTGCATTTCCACTTTGTTTTATATGCAGAACATCAGTTGCTATGGCAACAAATCCTGAAATATTGTAGCAATAAAGCTAAATTCTAAATTCGACTTCAGGATTCTGTTTGTTGAGATTTCTCATGAACTGAACAAAATTCAAAGTCCCTATAATGTTTACAGGGGGCCAGTGAGTGTTTTTTCTACAGATAATAAAAAGTGATAATGCAATTTTAAATCTGCCGATTTCCATTTTTTGCTGAACTAAGTTACTAGTAAAAGTCGTGACATATAAACAACACTTACAGGCCGCAATGGAACTTTGTTTTGTAAAAGCTATAAATACAACTATGTTTTCCACGTACTTCCATCGCCAGTCAGTTAACTGCAACATTCAGGTCTTGTAGCGGCGTGATAGAAGAAAACTGATAAATTTACAAACACAGCGGGGAAATGGATCAATAGATTTCATATACATGTACTGGTCTGTACTGAGTAATGTCGATGTAATGTTTAGACTGGCCTAGCTGATGGCATACCACGCGGCCGCCGAAGAAATCGACTCCTTTCCCGTAAACATTCATATATACATGTTCAGCGAATTAAGTGTTTTAGCGGGTGATACATTCGAAAGGGTTACATTTGTGTGATGGTTGACTAGGTATAGGAAATGAACAGCGATGACAGACACAACGTCAATATATGTACGCCTTGGGTGATATATATCATATGGATGGATAGTTTTCACTAGAAAGTTTTATAGAGACTGAGTATATATTTAAACTGGACTACTTTAGTAGAGATCCATGTGTGAGATTTCAGCCATGCGATATTTACGAGTCGTATCAGGTTTTTATTTAGAGGAAAAGCAGCGTGAAATACGGCGTGCCCTCACGTCAGAATTCTGTACCTTATGGGTGACAGCGTGATCGTGTACACTTCGTCGAATATTACGATCAATTCACACAACACTAATTCCCACGGCCATTATGATGCAACATGCAAAACGTGATCAAACGAAATATCCTTTAAGTTTCTCCAGATTGGACCCCTGACCCAAACGCACTTATACATACATGATAGAAATACTTCTGTAATTGGTCTACTCTGGCCCCCTGACCCGCGACCAAATTATATTGACCATGATAAAATTGTAGAAGAGTTAGGGATAATAACGCTAATATTATTCAAAGAGTTGAGGGGTCCAAACGGTTACTGAAACATCTCAGAAGATTTTGTGACCTATTTGAACTTGTAATATTATAGGAACGTTATAATGCGATACGCAAGTACCCTGTAGTTAACTATATAAATATATACTGTATTCATACAGAAATATCTCAAACATACGTTCTGGCGTAGAAAAAAAACACATTCCATTTTAAGCGTGTATTAAATATCTAGATATAATCGTCGCTTCATATAGAAATAAAATACAATGAGATGAAATTCTGATCTGGTAGAAATATCAATTACATGGAGTCACGGTGCAAAAACTGAATAAAAAAATAATATCACTGTTCAGTTTTATTGAAAATGGCACGTCCTCCTGATATAAAATGGCAATAAATTAAATTTATATTTTATTTTCGTTTAAATTTAACAATATGTTGATTGCAATTGCTCCCGACTGCTTTCGCGGCGTCTATTGACATGGTTCGATTTATCCAGCACTGTGAAACCGCTGAAAGATCGCCGCTTGCCAACGTTATTGGGGCTTTGCCATGCGGCTTTGAAACCTGCGTAGCGAATTGCACACAGTCTCAGTGTTTCTTTGTCATTACTTTTTCGTCTTGTTTTGTCATGCGCATGTAACATTCCGTTTGCTTTCTCTGCTTTATTCGCATTAGAAGAAGGAATCGAGCATTGCTCTTTCGTGGGGAAGTATATTTTACTGGGGAGTACGGGACCATGATAAGTTCGTAATCGTGGGCGTTTTTCCTCAAAATATGAGTGATCGTGTTGCTCTTTTGCTAACTCTCTGTCTAAGTCAAAATCTTGAGCACCTAAATCCCACGTCGTCCTTCTATTGGCCCAATTCGAGCCGATCCCGAGCTCAGTCCGATTGTCGCCGACTCTCAAGTCTAGATCGCCGTCACCAGGTGAACTTTCGACTCTTGTGTTTCTGTGATATCGCAGGTCATTAAATTTTACTGGCATACCATCGGTTTTAGGTATAACATTTTCAGTAAAATTCGTGTCCATGTCACTAAGTATGAGAGGTTGTCTATTTCCGGCTACGTTCGTAATACTGTGGCGTCTATAATTATAATGTTGTGTAATATCTGGATGGATATGCGCCCCTTGTGTCGACGTATTGCTACTATTTGGTAACGATACTGTGGAGCTAACTCGCGGAATTCTTTCCGAAAACGCCCTCATTAACGTTCGTTTATTGTCGTCGTCGAATTCTTTGTCAGTTGCTCTAACATTTCCCACAATTCCGTCGTCTTGTTTCTTTTTCCTGATATCACTTAAAGTTCCGTTAGTTATGATCCTTTTATTTGTAGTCCTACTTGCGTTTTCGTTATTATTTTTATCAATATGTTTGCCACCCGGTCGTTCAAACGGTCGCATATTTGGAACAGCAGAGTTATGTTTACAGGTACAAACGATATCGACGTTGTTTTGATTACAACTGCTCTGAGTGGAAGTTAGGTGACTGAGAGAATTTGACGACCTATTTGACATTCCATTATATGAATCCTTGCACGTGATCTTTCCGGTGTTGTTCTCACAACTGTGGTGTGCGCCACGTGACCATAGCGGCGTTGTGTTGGTTTCCCAGTTATTGGTTGTTGTTTTGTTATAGTTGTTGCTATGCTCACTACCTATTTTCTTATTGGAGGGCACGTGATAATGTCCGGCGCTATTTGGTACGACTTTTTGGTCCTCGATTCGATACATTTGTGGTGACTTTTAGTTTGCGGCTCAGATTTGTCGTTATTAGACCACGTGAGTTCCTCGGCTTCCCAGTCGTAAGGTAAAGTCGCCACCTCATCGTCATCGCTAAAACTACCCCAATCATACTGTATTGTGTCAGAGTCTCTATCAGGTATATCCTTTTCGCCTGTCATTTCGTAATGTTTTCCAGTTAACTGGAAATGTCCGTATTTTATCCATTCCTCTGTCAGTCCGTTTCTGGTATTTTTATTCTGGGGTGTGTATTCGTTTTCGTCATCGTCTTCGTCGTCAAGTTCATACCAAGCACGTGGGGGCACATATTTATCGTTTTCCCCATTACCGTCGTTAAGGAAGTTGCCATGGGATGGCTCTCTCTGTGACAGATACTTGGTGTTATTACATTCCTCGCCTCCATCCTCCGTCGCCGTAGCAACCCGCTATCTCCGTCCTCCATGCTTTCTTCGCTTATCTTTTCGTTGGAAAACAAAAACGTCGATCTTTCGTAAAGGACATCTTCAAAAGTTTGATATAAATTCCACATCGTTTCGGATACTTGATCTCCTTGACAACGAAGTGCTTTCTGTAAGTGTAAATAAGTGAGAGTAATTACCATAAATTGTTGCATATGCTACATACCGTTGTCATTGGATGTTCCCACCCCTGCCATTTTTGCCGCGGCCGTGAACACAGTGATCGAGTACTCATTAATTTTAGATGTATCCATGTACTTTTAAATAACATTGGCCAAAATAAATAATGTGGACACAGCAAGACACTGCTACTAATTGCCAAATAACTAACACAGTCCATTTACACCAGAAACCTTATATGAGAGTGTAACTTTATTATTTTCAAGTCAAATATAATCACTGATAATAAAGAATATGAGTTCAGTAACATTTCATTTCCCATGTGCGAACCGCTCAACAACGGAGGTCACGAACAAATCCACAGTCAATATAAAGATTATTAAATGCAATTCCACGACAATGTCGGTATTGTTAAAACGGCCATGGCACATCCCGGTGACAAAGCTTTGAATGCCGACATGGTATCACATTGACAAACAATTACTGGCATATTTGATTGAATATGTCTAATTGGCGTTACAAGCAAAAAACATATATTCGCCTCAAGGGTGGACCAATTGAACTCTCCGGGGGGCTAGCTTTGGAAGATGGAAAGAAAGAGGTAAACCTATTTTTTGCGCTTACTATATGATTTCTGTTTTTAAAGTTAACAATTATATTCACGTCTATCATTGTGGCAAGCTTTTCTGGGTGAACAGTTTGAACATTTTCCGTGGAATCTGCCCCTCCCTGATTCTAAATGGCCCACCCCTGAAAGCCGGCTGGGACAGTTTTGCGAAATGAATTCTGTAATCCAATATGATATGTTGAGCTGGTGGCCATCTTGGGTGAAAATTCATATTCAAGTTAGTGTGATGGAGTTCAGTGGTTCCACGTATATTTGATATGTTTGTTTTTAAGACTGCTTTGACCGTTACTATACAATTAAAACACTCGATATGGCTATGTCCACATGTAGGTCCCAAGACCCCAACCAACATCAGTAGTCAAGATTGAATGACTTCTCCGTGGGAGGCACTTAATTATTTCTGAGTGTCAGTTAGAGCTAACAGGTTTTTACCAAGATGGCGGAATATGGTCAACTTCACACTGTTGTTTGCTATTTCATCATAAAAAAAAACGCACTTGAAAAAAAAATCCAATTTTAGAAATATAATATTGATAATACATTCGGGTCACCGCCTGCACGAATCCCTGCTTGTTCAACTTGAATGCAACTGAAGTATTTCAAACAGTACCAACCAACGTACCATTCTAGTACATAAGCCGAGGACTTTTAAGTACCACTACGTACCACACAATACGAGGGTTTGTTTACAAGAACAGAGAACGAATATGACAAATGTAACCAGAACCAGCTCACTAAATGTTGACTGTTCGCACGCAACAATGGCTTACAAATGTACTTACAATATCCTGCTTCAATGTTGCTAGGAGAGAATCCATTCTTGAACTAAATTTCGCCACCTTAGCTCCATCTTTCGTCCTGGAATCCACACCCGGTGAGTTCATGTCCATCTTTCACTAAAATACAGAGACAATAATACTGGATATGTAGGTTATTTTTAAAAAAAGGTGGCCAGCTGCCTACTCCAGCAAGACGACAATCGAATTGTCACAATGTAGTACATGTACCGCTATCGTACACTGGGTATACCTCTATTATGGTTGGCTTTACGACCCACTCGTGGTGTTCTGGCTGTGCAGTTACAAGCCACTACGCCCTCTGGACACGAGGATGTTTCGCATAATTTCAATTTGAAACGTGCAAATAAACAAGCACCGGGCCTCGATATTAATAAGTGAACTACAGTTGGGACATATTGATTTCAATAGTTCGAGAAAATACCGTTGCAGTGAGGATGCACTCTTTGAAACCACGCCCGTTGCGGTGGGGATGAGATTGCTTAACAGCGTCCACCAACGTGCGTGCAAAACGACATTCCAGCGATTCGCGTATAAAAAGAGAATGCACAAAGAAATCACCTGCATCAGTGTGCGGTATATTTGCATATGTTATGCCTTTAAGCAAAGATCTCACACACGCTTTGCGAGAGCGATAATCTAACACACTTACACACACACGCACACTCAATAGTACCCTCCTCGCGTTAACGAGGTAACACGAATAGAACATTAAATCTACTCCATATGTTGCAAATACGACGCTTACTTTTAACATAAACATTTTAAACCGAGACTGATATCGCGGCTTGGTCTGAAAATACAAATACGTTTGTACTGTTCGGGACCTGATGAGCATCTGTTCTCGTGAAAGATGCCAATTTTAAAATGATGCCTTTGCTAAATTGAATTTGACATTTCATAAAGTTCTATTAATAGCCTACAATCAAAGACAGATTCGCCCACGTTGGTCACATGAAGGTAACCAAGTCTGATTTGGGAACCCCTGGCATTTTTTAATGAATGTCGGACCGGACAGCCCAAAGGGCATGACACTAAGCGTAAAATTATCGGATATGATTAACCCACTTGGGCGGAGAAAGTGTTTGTCTTACCTGTTGTGGCGACCTGAAAACCAACCGTAGCGGACCTCGCATGCATCGATCGGAAAATGATATATGATATCCGATTTACCAAAGCACAGTTTACACTAGGGGTATCTAAACGAATCGTCGTTTGGAATGTCTGGCATTGTAGCATGACTCACTGAGCTAAAAGCAACGCTGACTAAATGCCATCTTGAGTTTCTATTCCGATGCCATTCACAGCGGTCGATCGGGTGGAAAAATTAAAATTGCATGTATGTCCCCATTTATTGGTAAGGTCAGTCCAGGGATTCTTTGTATTGTGTCGTACCGTGTTATCGTTACGAGGAAACTTACTCATTAACGCTGTGCTGTTGAACACCCGGAGTAAGTGTGTAACTCCGATATTTATTAAAAACACAGTTCATGATACATCCGCTTTAGGATATTATTTTTCATAATACACGTAGTTCTCTAAATCAGCCTGTTTAGATTGTTAATGTTCAGAATGGTAGCAATTTCTGGAATTTAAAAGAAGAAACACTTTCCCACGTCCAATTCATTAAGTTGTAAAGTCCATTTTCGTGATATGGGATGTGTATTGTCTTACGCATTACGTCCAATGAATATACTTTGCAATTGTCTGCTGATGAAATGGTGTGCCATAAATCAAAGAGTTTTGTATTCTTGCTAAGACAGGCAATACATGCGAGTTTAAATCATGGAAGTTCCTCCTACTCAAATGAAGTCACTCTTAACGCCGGAATATGACGGTACTCACCTCGTTCTCGCGTTAGTTCCCAATTTAAATAGTTTTGGATAAAAAAATGCGCACAGTTGTTGGTTGTTTCATTCATAAATCAGCTTACTGGGACTCATAGTGAAATAAATTCCGGTTAATATATAATATTGATCAAAAGTGGAATGTGTAATTTGATGTATTTTGGCAATACTCGACGTGTAGCATTTTAATTAAATCTAAATGTTGCTGGTATAGTATTACACCATCAGCAAGGCTACGTTATCACCCGCCGCGGCGTGTTGTACAACTGTATCACGCTTCGCATACCGGATGAACATACTGAGTTGACGTAAAACGCGTTGTGATCAGGATTCTGCCACAGTGCCTTTATTACTGTAGATGAACCGTGATTATACACAGCATGCAAACAACACAACAACACACAAATACAAATTGACATTACACCAATTTATATTTATGGTAAAATCGATAACTATTCATATGTTTATTTGGTTTTATTGGATTTGTTATTCGCCATGAAAGAATAAATTGAATAATATATCAATGACGATGTTGTTACGTGTTCATGTCATGGGAAAGCCGAATAATAATCACGACCACAGAAAAATAACAATACCCTCCTCTATATAGACACAATAATGTTTTTTGTATATGGCAACCTCCGATAAACAACCAAATTAACGACTTTCTTGCTCCTAACCCCATTGTTGAATTGTATAGTATTGTTCTTTTTTGCCGACAATGTCAGCGAATTTTACTGCGTTGTTCGCCAAGTGGAATGCAATGCAAACGTATGGGTAATATTGTTCTCGTGTTTAGAATCTAACAAAAGAGGCAAATATACAAGGACACGATTCATTACAAATAGAATGAAATAGATCCTGTATATTTGTATAGAAGGGGTGGAGGTAATGTCAGGTGCACACATTGCCGGAATTGATGACACTGTCAATTTAATATATTCGTTGACATGACATTGCATCATTGAATTCTTCTATTTACTAGTATTTAGTTCTATTTTAGGTGTACTGTACTTTTCAAATGAACCTTGTCTATTGTAACAACTAAACCTGAATGTAACTCAGAGAACAAACCACTTCACCTCGAGTCTGTATTCAAACCACTTGACACATATAACAATGGTACTGACGGTAGTAAAAGGTGAACAACTCTCAAAGTCAGATAAAAAAGTTAAAAAGGTAAGAATATGTTTCTCTTGGAACAGACAACAGTCGACCGTTTCAAATGAAAGAAAAAGTATTTTCACATAGAGGTTCAAGTTGTTCACACTTTTAAACAGAAATAAATATACACATACTTTTTTTTTTATAAGTCGTTTTATAAAATTATTTGTCTCCAAACCACATCTTGATGAATGTGGCCTTTTACAATAAATTTGTTTTTTGCCAGATAAATGGGCCAATCGATTGATCCTTACCATATGGTGACCTTGATTTGGATAATTAATATTAAATATCGCTTGACATTCTATCCACTCCCACGAATTGAAAGTGCCTTTCTCTTTCCTGTTTCAGGGGGTGGGGGATAATAGTTCCGCTATAGTTTCGAACGATAAAGGTTCCCCATGATGAAAAACAATTTGCGCTGACTTGCAAAATTTAGCTCACCGTATTTTTCTCATTATTTATCCGACCTGGATTAAATACCACTGCAACCGATTGGCAGTTGTATCACTGACTTGATTGTCGACTACATATTGACGTCAGATTTATTTCTGCAGGGTCACTAAAGGTCACAAGATCAATGTTGTCATATCACCGGGACACTCATAATTTGTTTACCGGGCGCACAGAGAATGCATGGAATGCTGTGGCCCGATATTGTTCATTATTTGACACTTCAGTGTGGAATGACAAAGAAATTACAGATATGATATGAATACATATTTGTACATGCTCCAGATGTTCGGAGACGCAACTATCTATTTAAATTTTTCACACAAATCCATTCACCCCATATGGTGCACGCATTAAACTTAATATCGCTTATTATATATCCTATTTATCGTCCCCAACAACTTATATAGATTTACTAACTTTAATTGAAATTTATATTCCCCCTCTGCGTATGATTTTTAAAACATTTGGTAAATAAAATAAAATTACCGAATGTCACAACGAAATCTAATTCTTATACAATTATTTCAACGTATTCAATTCACTTGAAAGAATTGTTTTTTGGTATTAATAGTAAATTGTTAAACATTTCTTTAGTTTTGCGTGACATTAAAAGTATTTTTAATTTCGTAAATAGTGGAAATTGTTATGTTAAAGCGCGGTGGTCGTCGCGCAGCGCGTGTTCGAATTTCATGTAAATAAACAATGTATTTTACACGCGTTGTATACGTCGCTATGAGTCCCATATCGAACAGGACGCGGCACGACGACTGCCGCATTTTAATGATATGAAGAGAATAATGGTATAATTGAAACAACATGGTTACTTTGTTTACATAATTTAGAAACCTTACTTACGATTGGATGAGTTTAGTGCATAACTGAAATTGATTGAATCATCGTCCGTTTTAGGTCGCATACATCTGTTTTCCTCGGACTCCGACTTTCTCATTTTCAACGATGAGGGCATACATAGAATAAAATATTCGGAAAACAAACCAGTTGACGTACAATTTTAAAACCAACCTCAAAATATTTCCACATACATTGGGTCTTCAAATATAACGTTGGTTAAATAATACACGTCCGTTTTTAGGCAGCAAACATACATTTTTTTTCACTCTCAGACTTTCTCATTTTCATCGATGAGGGCATAAAAAGCATAAAATATTCGAAAAATAAAACAGTGAATGTACAATTCCAAAACCAACCTCAAAATATTTCCACATACACTGGGTCTTCAAATATAACGTTGGTTGAATCATACATGTTCATTTTCACGCAGCACACACACATTTTCTTCACTCTCGGACTTTCTCGTTTTCGACGATGAGGGCATAAACATAGATTAAATTTTCGGAGAATAAACCCGAGGACGTCGTTGCAATATATACCATTTTGTTTGCGTCGAATATTATGTGACTGAATAAAAGCACATGGTTCATGAATTTTGCTGGAACGTATGTGAAGTTTAATATTCCTGTTCTCGGTTGTTGACATTTATTCTGCCCATAACTTACGTAAAAAGATTATAAATGTATACATTTGGTCTCGTCAAAAGCTTGTTATTAGTTTAAAATAAAATCAATCGGTGTTTGAATTGAGAAAATGTCTGAGCGTCACGGTCATTGTGGACAATAGACAGACTTATATTTTCTAGGCATATAATTTGTGTTGTTTAGTAAAGCAATTAATTTGAGATATTTATTTATGATGCAATACATAATGTTTTAAATCTATCAACATTGTATTATCAC